AGTGGTCTGGATGCCTATAGTGGTCCTTTAAAACCTCCCTCATGTCCCTAGGGACATGTCTACAGAACAGCAAGCAGCCAGTTGCTATTGCTGCCCAGTTGCTTAATCAAGGGGGACCTGGCTATTAAAAAAAAAAAAAACAACGGGGGGACAGAGTCCCCCTAGCTCCAACCTCATTGGTGTCAGGTGTGGATGAGATAATAACGTGAATAATAATAATGGGACACATGTCCCCCCAGTCCCAACTCATTGGTTGTGGGTGGAGACTCTAAATAATAAAGGGCTGGGGTAGATCTATTGTCCCCTTCCAGCCCCCTAGCATTGGCAGTGAGTGGGTACTCTAAAAATAATAAGGGAAGACATAGTTTCAGGCCAGCCCACACCCAGGTGGTGGTGGGCTCTAAAAAATAGGTCCACCACCTCTTTAGTATCAAGAGCTCCCACATGCAGCCAATAGGTGTGGCCAGGGGGACACCTTTATTATTTAGATATTCTACCAATCACCAGTGGGTGGAGGTTGGGGGGACACGGTGTCCCGCCATTATCATTTTTAGAGCCCCCACCTGCCACCAAAAGGTGGAGTCTGAGGGGACACTAAATCCCCCTCTTCATTTAATAGCCCCATCCACAGGTCATGGGTGTGGGCTGCAGAGGAACATTAGGTTTTTACTCTGTTTATTTTAATAGACCCACTAGCAGGCCACAGGTGACATGCCCTAACTTGTTGCATTTCATGCAGGGGAAGGACTTAGCCTCCCGTATACTAAAATGGAGTCCATCGGTTTAGGGTGAGGAGGGGCATGGGAGAATTTAGGAAGGAGTGGGAAGCACAGCTCCATGCCACTTATATCTTCAAATATTTCAAGCCGTGAGCCAGTAGGTCCCTTCTTGTAACTAAAATGAACCAATCCAAGAATAATTGCATTAATTAAATTTCATCCAACGAGCTATTCTTGCAGAACAATAGACTAATTGCTAAAATATTGGACAACAGTGTTTTTGTCCTAAAACAATGCCCACGTCTAATTATCAGTAGCCATTCTTTTTAGTTCTGATCTTTTCGCACACCACCTCTTTTTTTTTTTTTTATTACATCTAGAATTGTGTTTTATGTCAGATCTTAATAAGAGTATACATAAATAATTCTTACCTTTGCTAACATAAAAAACAGGTGGCAATAATTACAATTTAAGGCCAAGGTAGTTATAGTGAAACCCTTCTGTTACCCTCTTGATACTGATTGGTTGTTGTGACAGAACCTCAGTTTTGCCACTATGAAGAGGTATTTTCTATGGGGGCTGTTCTTACTGTAGGGATACTTGTGGGACAAAATCTAAAAAAAATCATATTATGTCTGACATCACACTTCTTGAGGTTTCCCCTACCCTGCCACAGTCACAATCCTGAAGAACACGCGCTCTCCAACCGCACCCGGTGACTGAGCCTTAAAATGAAAACCACGAGTCTTCGAACGGTCCCCAAGAACTCAAGCATGTAAGGTAGGATCGGCATTTCTTCCTTGCTTGTTTGCATTTCCCTATGCTCTCGTATGAAATCTAGCGGCTCCCTCACCCGCGTCCAGTAATACATTTCACATAGGAAGAACCCTGTCCATTCCTGCAGCACCTCATGATAGGCGAACAGAGATGAGGCAGTAATTGCTTCCAATCCTTGCAAACAGTAATGAACATCCGAAACATCTGCTTCAAAGTATTATAAAACTGTTTATATAGGCCACTGGTCTGTGGTCTATAGGGTGAGCTCTGGTTGGGTTTTATTCCACAGAGCCTCCAAAGTTGGTGTGTCACCTCAGCGGTGAACTGGGTACACTGATCTGAGATGATGTATTGTAGAAAATACAGATCAGGACATCAGCTACTGTTTCCACTTGTATATTAGTTAGCGAAACCTCCTTTAGGTACCTAGTGGCATAATCCACCAAGGTAAAAAAATAGTTTTTACCAAATGGACGAGGCTTGGACAGTGTCAGGATACTAGTTGATCCAGCATGCAGAACTGTATCACACCTAGGACTAATGGCAATGTCTTACCGGGCCTTAGAATGGCCGGACTTAACGTACCAGAGAATAGTCAGAATACTTGCCGAGGTCGGGGACACAGAATGAAGCACAACGATGAGGGAAAGCCAAAAGTCAAGGATACCAGAATACAGGGAAGTCTAATGAAGCCAGAGTCAATAACCAGAACTAAACGCTCAGGAACACACTCTCAGGTAACCTACTAAGGGAAACCATGACAGGGCAATGAGGAAAAACAAAAAGGAGTTTAAATAAGTCTCCTTTAAATCATATTGACCGTACACGACCTTTGACCTCAAAACGTGCGTGCGCGTCCTTTGCGTGACATCACATGCATGTTGACGTTGTCAATACCGTGGGTGGCCGTGTGGTTATAAATTGGTATGGATCCGCAGCGGCCGGCGTCTTTCAACATGCCACAGGAGTCAGATACACTAGCACAGGGCTGCTGATTAGCATCTCTGTCAATGCCAGGAAGGTAGTTGTCACCACGGACACCACAAGGTGAGGATGAACATGTGACAGACAGGGGTCCTACAATATCAACTGTTACTCTGTTAACTGATTCCTCTATGATGGGAATCGAAAGTAGCTAGACCTGGGGGTGATCTCTTTTCCCTACTTTCTGACAGGTATCACAAGTCTGACAGTACTGCCCAACATCCTTGGAAGTACCTGGACTGTAGAAACTCTGTTACTCAAAATCTAGTCTTGTGGATACCAAGCTGCCTGGCTAAGGGAATATCATGATGGGTCGTTAACATTTCTGTCCTATAAATTTGGAGACCCACTAACGGTCATCTTAACATTGGCACTGTCCCCAGGGCCGGCGCTACCTGTAAGGCGGACTAGGAGCGCCGGCCCCCCCATGCTGCAGCCGCCCGAGCGCTCTGTAGAGCGTCCATGAGGGCGGACCGCACTGCCCGGGCGCAGCCTGAGGAGAGGGGCTGACAGGAGGGAAGGGAGGGGGAAGAAAGAAACAGGGAAGGAGGGGGAAGAAAGAAACAGGGAGGGAGGGAGAGGAGGGAAAGAAAGAAAAAGGGAGGGAGGGGAAAGAAAGAAACAGGGAGGGGGAAGAAAGAAACTGACAGGGGAGGGGAGGAGAAAGAAACTAACAGGGAGGTGGGGGGAAAGAAACTAACAGGGAGGTGGGGGGTAAGAAACTAACAGGGGGGAAGAAACTAACAGGGAGGGGGGAAAGAAACCAACAGGGAGGTGGGGGGAAGAAACTAACAGGGGAACACAGGGAGGGGGAGACATTGACAGGGAGGGGAATTTGACGGGAGAGAGAAATTGACAGGGAGGGGGGGAGAAGAGAGTTGACAAGGGAGGGGGGAGAGATTGACATCCATCACACACACACACAATCACACACAATGCACCCCTTACACACAAAGACAATGAACCCCTTGCACACAGAAAAACACACAATGCATTACACACACAATGCATTACACACACACACACACGCAATGCAACCCTTACACACAATGCATCCCTTACACACACAGAAACACACAATGCATTCCTTACACACACTCAATGCACCCCTTAAACACACTCAAAGCACCCCTTACAGACTCACACACTTCATCCCTTACATACACAGAAACACACCTTGCAGCCCTTACACATACAAACACAGATTCACACAATGCATTCCTTACACACAAATCAGGACATCCCCTACACACTCCACCCCCTGTGAACAAACTCATTGGTGGAACATGAAGGTGGACCCTGGGACCCAGACCTTGAGCTGTGTAAAGGGCCCCCAAAAAATGGAGCTGCTTCTCGTTCTCCCAGAACATTGATTTTTGTGACCACAGTTACAAACAGCCTCCAGAGATCCTGTTATACACCAGACCAGTGGAGCCAGACTGCAGCTAGAGCCCATCATCATCCTCATCTGCTTGTAAGTAGGTAATCTAGTATATTATTCGTGGCACTAATCTCTAATTTACCTCACATTAAAGAAACACTATAGTCCCCAGAACCACTGCAGCTTAATGTAGTGGTTCTGGTGTCTATAGCCTGTCCCTGCAGGCCTTTTAATGTAAACACAGCGGCACTGCAGCACTGCAGCACTAGCGTTAGTTAACATGGCAGGTCATATGGGTGGGGCATTGTGATGTCACGGGGGTGGGGGGGCGGCACACTTTACTTTTGCCTAGGGCGGAAAAAATCCTTGCACCGGCCCTGACTGTCCCACTTACTGACTTTTTTGGTCTCCTGGTACACAAGTCCCTGATCCCACATAAACCTTCCATCTAACCCTCCTCCCTAACTTCCCTCTGAAACTCAGTTGGTCAGGGGAGATTTCTTGAAATGGGAGCAAGTGGTCTTATCTGGGCCTAGGCAGAGTGTGTCAAGATGTCAGCTTGAAGAACTTGTAGCCTGGTCATGACCGGATAGTATTCCTCAGCTGTAAAAGCTGTAAAGCTGTAAAGCTGTAAAGGTGGAGGTGAGTTGGCCAGGTTATTGCCGAGTAACACCTCATTGGGTAATTCTCTCTTCACGCCTACGTCCACAATGCCAGACTGTGTCCCAATCTAGATGTACTTTTGATGTGGGGAGCTGATAAATGACTGAGAATCAAGTCTGTTAAGCTCCTTGCATTCGGTTAGCCTGGACCAAGGTGAGGGTAACTCAATTACCCTTTAATCCTTGAGCCGGTCTCCCATTTAGCATCATTGTTTGTTTGTGATGCTGCCAATTATCCGAGACTGACACCTAGATAGGATCAGCCTCATGTAATATACCTATATTTCCTCTGTGCTTTGAGGTTCAGTGCTTCTGTAGGCATGTCTGCAAATAGGGGTAATTTGGCTGGCATTGGGGCCTGATTTTAACCAGATTGACTGTGGTTGTTTCTGCAGCCAGTTTTGGTCAGGGTTCCACTTTGTTGCATCCATAGCAGTGGGGTTTGATTCTAGGTGCTGGGTTAGGCAACATCTTTCTCTAAGGTCTCAGTCGATGTTGGAACTGTTCCCCAGTGGTTGTAGTCTCCAAACAGTGATAGACGCTGGGTTCTCGCCTTTTAGCAGTCTTTGCATCCTGGCGTTCGTCTGCCAGCCTCGCAGCTTCTGGCAGAGTGATAAGCCAGCGGTCTTCCACATCTGGTGCCACTGAGCTGTAGAATTTCTCTATTAACAGTGGTTGCTCCACATCCACCACAGTGGTAGCAGGGCAGCCTTGTATCCAATTCATTGCTGCCCTGTGGAGGTGGCAGGTCCACTCCACTTCTTCAAGTCCCAAAACTGGCGGAAGTATATTTCCAGGGTGATAGCATACTGTGCTCTCACTCTGTCATAGTTTGTTATATCCTCTGCTTGAATATCTCTGTGAAGGGTCCTTCTCTTTGAGCGCTGGGTACATGGAGTTATTATAGCTGCTATAGCTGTTTTACCCAACACTAGCCGAATGTTAGAACAATGAAAGTCCATGGTTAGAACAAAAAATGTTCCACACTGAGTCTGGGAGATAACTATAGCAATATGTAATGTGGAATGGTTGTTGAAGGAAGATATATCAGGCCTATTTTGCTAAACAGCAGCCAGAGAATTTTCAGTTAAATGTCCCAGGGAGAGATGTTAAGTTTGCAATATACATTGCTGATGCTCTGCAAAACATGGTATGGGTCCCTGGGGTGGAGCATTTGGAGAGCAGGGAAGGCCAGTGCTCCAACCGCTAGTTGCTATGTAACAGGCCAGAACTTGGATTTAACTTAAGAGTTCCAGAGATGTTAACTAATTGACACTCACCTGTAGCTGGTCAATTAACAGACAGGCCTTTAAAAAAAAAAGAGATCAGCCTGCTGCAGAGTGGGAGAAAAGCCAGCTAGGAGAGAGAACAATTGTGTTTATTACAAATCTATTTTGAAAATTGGTAAGTGGGAAAGCAACCCCAATTACAGATAGTTATTTCTGTCTAGTAAGAGCTCAAGTAAGAACAAGGAATTTTGTTTTGTTTATTTTGTTTATTTTTTATTTAAAGCACCTGTTTCCTCATCAAATAAAAAAGAAAACTGAACTGGATGTGTCCTGGTCTTTGTATACCCTAGAAGGCTGTGCTTACTGTAAGATCTGTGACAAAATCCTACCTGAAAAAGAGGTGGTTTGTTACAGTACTGATATAAGCTAATACATTAATTATCTCCCAGACATCAGGGAGCCAATACAATATATCCCCCCAAAATATATGAAAGCATAAATAACTTCCACAAGTTTTATATCTCCGGATAGCTCTCCCCCTCTGCCTCCTTTGGTCAAAAGAGCACTGTTGTCACACTCACTTTTGAATCACCACCCTGTTAAAGTTTTAGCCCATGACCGCTTGGTAGTAGATTTCAAGATTCATGTTAAATGACTGCAATTCAGCTGAATTTGGGCTGATTGGAAGAAATTCAGATTTTCGAGGCACCAGGAACTAACATGCACAAGCACAAGCAAGTTTGATTTAGTTTTTGAGTGCCATTCCTGGAAAAAGGTGAATGGAATGCAGATTTTTTGTTTGTTAGGGGCAAGCAAGCAACTTTGTTTCTCATGATGGACAAGAAATCTGCCCAATCCAAAAAAAAAAGTGATTGATGGTTAGAGGACAGTAACTAAATGTTAACTGTATTCAGAGATTAAGTGAAGTAACCAACAGAGGGAAAAAATGGATAGAAAGAAGTCAATTATACTTCCAAGCAAGATTCTTCTAGACACTTTGACTAGTTATTGAGGGAAACAAACCAGCAGTAAACATGGGTGTTTAGAAAATAAATAGGTTATGAATATCTCATACATGTACACATTTCTCCCTGTATGTACGTACCTGTAAAAATTGGGGGATACCCCTTTAAATGAAACCAACCTATTTTTTGTTAACTATCTGGAGGAAACAAAATTTTTCTTTTGACTAATATGAGTCTTCTAGTGTGGGAATAGGTTTAGCAGTTTCTGCTTTATCTATCTAGCATCTACTGACAGAGCCACTTAAAACAACCTTGAGTAGAATAGATTGCCATGCATTTTGTCATTGATGCAAAATCAGCACAAATCTACCAAGCACTTACCCATTTTGCAACACACTACACAATCATTCATATACCTTACTTTACCTAATGTAGAGTGGGATTAGCAGCATCTGATTCACCACACAGGAGGCAATTGTATGTTTCTCAATCTTTTTATGCTACAATAACTTCTGATGCCCCTTCCACTAGCACTGCAGCTCCTTCTAGCACAGCTAGTTCAAGTGTTACAGTTTCTGTGTTTTATAGTGCTCAGAGCTTTGGATCAGTGAAATCAGTTGACTTACACCCTATTTCTAGACATGCCTTCTCTCTTTACATGCCTTCTCTCTTTTTCTTTAGAACAGAATACCCAAGGAGTTTTCCCAATGTTTGGTCTTGGTAGTGGTGGTGAGGAATCTAGTGATGAAGGTATCACATTTCCCCACAACTGCGGACATTTGTTTAGAAGGTGTTTCATTAGGAAATCTACCGAAGAATTAGAATTAGAGCAGAGGCAATAGTTCCTGAACCTACTGTGCACTCGAAGATTTTTTCTAACTTTGTCTCTATCTGTAATAGAATCACTTCATTTACAGAAATGAGTTGGAGCATCATCTCCTACCAGTGCCAGAAGTAGCTCATGTAGTGACATTACATTTAACATAACCACCTCCCTCCATCGATTTCCATTATCATTAGTCAACCAAGTGATAATGTAGGGGTTAGTTTCATCAGCCACAAGGCCAAGGGTTGAGGCTAGTAGGTCATGCTGAAGCAAAGTTTGCTATAGCTTTGACAGCCTCCCTGAAGAGCCACGTGCAATGTTTTCAGCAAGGAAGTGACTAAAAGGAGAGTGAAGGGTCATCTCACTAGAGCTACAAAGATATCACAAGTACAGGATCTGGCAGAATAACCTTGATTATTTCAATCACAGAACACACAGATACAATTTAATTGTTTAAATAAGTACAGTTAAACGGTGTGGTATATACACCCACACCAGTCAAATGGTGGAGTGCTATAACATAGAATGTGACGGCAGATAAGAAAGAATTTGGCAAATCTAGTCTGCCCAATCTTCTAAATACTTTCATTAGTCCCTGGCCTTATCTTATAGCAAGGAATGCCTAATAACTATCCCACGCATGCTTAAACTCCTTTACTGTGTTAACCTCCACCACTTCAGCTGGAAGGCTATTCCATGCATCCACTACCCTCTCAGTGAAGTAATACTTCCTGATATTATTTTTAAACCTTTGCCCCTCTAATTTAAGATTATGTCCTCTTGTTGTGGTAGTTTTTCTTCTTTAACCTCCCTGGTGGTAATCCAGAGCGTGGCTCGGGGTTAATTTTCAGTTCCAAGAGTGGTAACCCTTAGCCACGCTCGAGATTACACTGTAGTATCACTTACCTTGTCCCTATGAGCCCCTGGTGTAAAAATAAATACACACAATACATTGTAAAAACAATGTACCGCTTTAACATTAAAAAATACTGACATAATCAGACCACAAGAGAGGTTAATAGCTATAACACTTTTCTTCTTATAAGCTATAACCGATGTTTTATGTGAATATTGATTTAATTGGATACACTCACATTAAACAGACCCTAATAGGGACAGGCTCGGATCTCATAGGCAGATGTGTACGTAGGTGACACTGTCCCTCTTCCACTGTGTCTTGTTAGGCTTGTAAAAAGAATATGTGGAGAAATTCCTAGTGCAATATGCAAATTCAGTAAAGTGCAAAATACAGCGTAATGTAAACTGCTCACCTTTTATAGAGCCCATAGTACCTAGCTCTCAGTATGCAGACCATTGTGTCTATAAAGAGAAGACAAACCCTGCTTTAAAAACTGGACCAAACTGTTGAATGGAGTCCACAGGAAGAATCTAAAATAAAGCTATTGATTGCAATATATGAAAAACAAATAAACAAAAAGCTAATTTTTAAATAAAACTAAAATCAAGTAGGGAATCCTCCAGCAGTACACCCAAGAGGTGTTTTGCTGATTAAACGGCATTATCAATAGGTATGATTGGGGTGGGTGTAGAAATCACATAGTTGATCTTTACTTGATTGTATATGGTTGTGTAAAGGAGAGAGATATTTGCACGTAGGTGGTAGCAGCTTTCAATATATTGCTATTATTTGCAGTGCCTGGTGCACAAATATTTGACAATTTTTTTGTTTATTTAATATTATAAAATAGCAGTGTTTACCATTTTTATCTTTACAGCTAAACCACAATTAAACTAAGGAAAAGGAAAAAAAAATGATGTTTTAAATCATCTTCCAGAGGATTCCCATAATTTCAGACATACTTATGCAGATGTGGTCTAAAGCTTCTCAATGTTTACCAGATCATTTCTTTTGCTATTGCAGTAATTTCTTGCTGAATGGCAGTTTTCTTGGGTCTCTGTTTGATGACCCTTGCATTCAGGTACCCACAGAGGAAGATCGCACACTGCAAGGTCGGGTGAGGATGCTGACCATGCAGCATCCCCATGGAGAGTAGTCAGCTGCCTGGAAAACATCTGATTCATCACCGACATTGATGCTCTTGCTATATGGGCTGTAGCTCCATCTTGCTGGACTCATACTGGAGGTCTGCGAGTCTTTGATCCAGGAAGGTTGTTAGCATCTGGATATAGCGGTTTAAGGTGACAGTGACCACATGAGAAGTCAACCCAAAGTTAGACCAAACAGTGACTTATTCATTGTAGAGGTGTCTTTCATGGAGCTCCCTGAGATTATTTTTGGACCAGTATGAACACATTTTGTTTATTCACACAGCCTGACAAGTGAAAGTTTTGCTTCATTACTAGACAGCTCACTGATGTCAACTGTGATAGCTTCACAAGAGGCTCTGAGATTGGCATGGTCATGGTTAAATAGTCCCTGGACCACCATTATTTTGAAGGGATAACATTTTAGATCGGTGTGTAAGATTCTTCTTTAACTCTGCTCTCATATCCCTAATGCTATATCTGCTTCACAGCTGACCAGTGTGAAAACTGCACAAATGCTCCTCCGACAGCTTCAATATACTGAGGTATTTTGACCCCATGCACCCTGTCAGAGGTTTTTATTTTTAATGCAGACCCTGTTTGGTGGAATTGTATAACTCACAGCATTATTGTGTTCCTGCTCGAAAAAATTCTGTCCCTTTCAAGCTGGAAATGCTTTTGGAAAAGCTGCAGTGTTTT